AAAAGTAAATTAAAGAACATAGTGACTTTAAACAATAATAAGGTTTCATAACAGAAAAAGGTAACTAAATCCTCCTCCGAATAATGTTAAATATATATACATATATATATATATATATATATATATATATATATATATATATATATATATATATATATATATATATATATATATATATATATATATATATAAAAAATATGACATAATAAGTTCACATGTAATTTATTACGTAATACGAAATTCACTACAAAGTTTATGTAGTTTCAGATCTATTATACATCTGAAATGTAATATTGCTTTACGACTACTTTTTCAATTTATACTCCACTGAAACCGATGTTCAGATAATTGTTGGGTGTACCCGCAACAATGGGTTTAATTTTTTTTGAAGTTATGTTATATTAATGGTAATTAATTATTACTTATCTATCGTGAACTTTTGATTTCTACATTTGTCGTCACGTTTCGCTCAGTTTGTAGTGACCCTACTTGCTGTTCCAGCGGTCGCAGGTTCGAGTGCCACTGGGGGCATTCATGTGTGTGATAAGTACGAATGTTTGTACTCCAGTCATGGGTGTACACCATGTATTTATAATATGCATGTATTTAAAGTTACATATATGTGTGGTGTATCAAATATCTGGTATCCATCACACAAGCCTCGTAGCTCACCATGGAACTAGATGGTTCTGTGTGTTAATGTCCCAACATATTTATATTTATTTTATCGTATATTATAACTTTATACTTCCGTTTTTCTTTTCTAAGCACATTGTAGAAAATATTCAAAACCGGAGATTTCTGCCTTTTTACCCGGAATTTATTCACTCATAACTGAAGTAGGTCGTTATTTACATTTATTAACTTTCCCATTTCGCGATTTCGCGGATTGGTATTATTTCAAAATAACGGCGTATTATTTTATAATGGCCTAAGAGCCTGTGAACGCCAGACCTTCGTCATTTTATAAAATCTGAAAGTTTGTTAGCGCATGCTCCCAACACAGATAATAACGATGGACCATTATGAAGTTCAGGCTATGGTGGCTTTGGCAGGTACACGGTACTAAAGGTGTGTAAAATACCGATCTAAATTCGTAAAATAATAAAGTGTGATTTTTTAGTATTACCTTCAGAATATTATTAAAAATCACGTCATTCAATGCCATACACTTAACATCGTGGCAAACCCTTGCCAGACACCCTATTCATGAAATCATAATTCTACTTACGTTATAGTATAAAAGCTGATTTTTATATATAATACTTGGGTAATAATTAGATGATTTATAAGACTGCTAGCATAGCATTTATTACACACCATCAAAAATAAAGTCAATTCTTAGCGCTTCAAATTTGGTGATCATTTGCAACATTTTCTTAGAAATGCCTCCCAACTTGTTTGGAACATTTTTCATGGTGTGTAATCACACTTTATTTTTTGACGAATTTAGATCGGTATTTTACACACCTTTAGTACCGTGTACCTGCCAAAGCCACCATAGCCTGAACTTCATAATGGTCCATCGTTCTTATCTGTGTTGGGAGCATGCGCTGACAAACTTTCAGCCTTTATAAAATGACGAAGGTCTGGCGTTCACGGGCTCTTCCTCTATAACGCTACTTTGCGATGTAACGTTCTAACTCAGTTGAGTCGATTTTCTTCAATCGATATTGATAATAAAAACCCGTGAACAATACGTTCTGACCACGTGATTTATCAATTATATATGTCATTTTCGTACATTTCTATATTCTATTACATATTGTAATCGTAGAACGATAACTGGGCTAACTGGAGCAGTTAGTTTATTTCATTAATGTTCTTTATTTCACATACTTCTTACGGTATTTATTTATTTACGTATTAAAAATACATTTGTTTATCTGTATATGGAACTATTCTATGGAATTTATTCTAAATAAATCTTATCAGAGAAAATTAGAATGAGGTCTATCTAGGGGAATAGAAGATTATGAACCGAGTCCTATAATTTACTCATGAGGTAATGAGTTTGATTCTATAGTCGCTGGATATTATATCAAGAAATTCTCATTAGTAGCCTGAAGTTGGGAAATTGTTATTATTACCTACGGCCACTAAAACAATATAACTGTCGCCTCTGTACCATATCTTAGTTCAGTCGTGTCTAATTTATCCTATCTTGGAGGCTAAGTATACATAAGCATACTTATTACTTACATATACACACATATTTATATATTATTCATTTACATATGTAACATATAAGTAAAATATAAATTGAAACTTCTTTATTTATATTATATTAAGGCCTTTTCAACTGCTTTGACAATTCATTAAAAGACACTTGAAAATGTGAAAATAATTAGTGAACATTCTTATTAGTGGGAATCGCTGGGTTTTTTTTTCACCACAACTAGTAGAAATTTTATGTAATAATTATTTTTTTATATAATATTTTACCCTTCCACTATCTTACTGAGTCTTGAGTTAAGCTTCATGTTTATTCATGAATAAAGTTGATTTTATAGTTTTTATAAGAGGTAGTGGTTTACTGTCTCAGTGGTGTAATGGCTAGCATGTACGGGCTGCACATTCGGTAGTCCTAGGTTCGATGGGTTCAGTGGGGAGGACATTGTTGATTGTTTAAAATACTATGTAAGCAAAATAGGATTAAAAATAAAATACTTAATTTTTTTAATAATATTATTCATAAAAAATGTTATTTACAAAATGCCCTAGTATTATTGAATAAGTACTTATATAATTATTGTAAGTTTCAATGTATGAAAATATAATCTTAAAAAAATTATAATGATTTTCATCCACACTTTTGTTTTATCTACAACATATTATGTAATATATTTATTTATAGTTTGTTTTATTCTTATCGCTTACAATCGATTTTATTTATTTATCACATGTCCTTGTAAGCAATTACTTAACCATTACATTAAAAATTCATGTACATTAACATAATCCAATTTTATAACTCTATTTTAATACGTAAAATAGGTTAAAAATCTTAAAATTCATGATTTTTGCATTCGCAACAGATCGCACAAATATATATTGCTATCACTAATAACTTTTTGTGCGAAAACTTAAGCAGAGTATACATCGATTAGTATAAAAAATTGAACTTGACAATAGATGGCGCTACATATTGTCTAAGCATTTGTTTTAGCGCCATCTATTATCGAATAGCTAATTTACTTTAAATTTATTATAATGAGTCTATACAGATTTTGTTAAGAAATCTTAGCGTAAATATTTTATACAATAGCGCCATATGTCTGTTTTTCATTTACGAATCAAAGCCCCTCCTCCTATTAAGCGAGCTTATTTAGATTTTATAAACATTTTATCAAAATATTGTGTTCTTTTTCGTTTACTATTTCTGTTTTCATATGATTTGCGAATAGAAATTTGTAAACTTTTGTTCTTTATTATATACTTTTTACCTGCGACGGCCACGGAAACGGTACATGCGTTTGGAGTAAGAGGAATTTGTTTGTGTCTGTTGCCATTTTTCTCGAAAACGACTAGGCCGATTTTGAAACGGTTTTTTCGTATTGTAAACGCACGCATATTGCTCAAATACAATATATAATTACCATTTTTATATTTATAAAATGTTACTGTTTAATCATCTAGCCATTATATCTAATAAGTAATAATTTACTATATTAAATTAAATGAAAAGTAATTTTAAATTCTATAAAGGTAAAAAAAATCCATTTTTTCTAGCCGAGTAATTTTAAAATGATGATTCTTTCAGATTAAGTGCTTAATAATAACATACATATATTTTTTGTTTACATATTATAAAAAGATAAAAATTTAAAAATATTTTTAATTTTCTTAAGCGACTTTTGCAAACCGATGGCGCCTTATATTTTTAAAATAAAATTTTCACTTTTAGTTAAGTACACTAATATCATTAACACATACATACATATATTAGCACAGTACTTTAAAGTATACAATATTTTTATGTAAATTTTCTAAGTGACACCACATTTGATAGCTCTATGTATGACTTCAGATTAGTACCACCTTCCAAATAACTTTTGATTATTAATAAAATAAAAAAATACTTACTGCTAAATCTAAATTAACATTCTATACGTTAATTTATGGCATAATTTCGATAAATCTTAATTAAATCATGCAAACTAAATTATGCTTTTCTAGTACTTTTCATTTTCATTATTTACTTATCTTGAGCATTAACATTTTTAAAGCACCTATACACAAGTATTATAATATACTTAAAAGTTCGCTGAGACGACGAAGACAAGTGCAAAATATTATTACAGAGTGATTGTAAAATACCATCTAGTGCCGAATAAGAGAATTAAGTGAGAGAAACAGACTTCTTTGTATTTTTATACATTTTTTAAATTCAGTGAATAAAAAGTTTTATTATAAAAAATCGAAAAAAAGTTTAACAAAGTGTTTCTGCTATAGATTATTATACTCATCTGTCGAAGTTTAGCTTTGAAAGTAGCTCATAGTAAAGATGTACCAGCGAAAATCGAACTCGCTATCCGCGCCGTTGTGGCTTATCTAGGAGCGCTTCAAAAAAAAATAGTCATCAAAAAGATGATTGAATTGAGCATTTATCTATCTTTAAATTTCATATACAATTATCAAAATTTATGACAAGTATGCTAAACTTAATTAATGACGATGTTCAAGTATTAGTTATAATAAAATTGTGTATCTTTGTTTCTTACATCTAATTAATATATACTTGATAACCTTCCTTCCTTGCCAGTTGCAATAAAACATTACTATATAATGCATTTTCATAGAGAATAATAATATAATAAAGTATAATTAAGATACTTGTTACATTAAAATTTTAACATTGCGTTTAATAATATTTTAAATTTTATTAAACTTAATAGAACCGACATAATATCAATCACATATAGTGTATATATGATAAATAGGTGAGAAAATTAGGATCTCTACATATAGAACTACAAGTTACAATTAAGTATAAATCAAGAGCACGCTTCGCATCTGACGAGGCCGACTTCATCACAATTCATGCATTTCAAAGCAACGAATTCAGCAGTGAAATGATTTCTGTGCAAACTCTTCTTAGATCCATTACAGATTCGACACGGCAAGAGACGGAAGCCTCCGCAGATTTGACAAGTGTTGCAAGCATCGGGACTCTGGAAAAGAGATAATTACTTATTAACAAAAAATGTTCAAGTACAAAAAAATCACTTAAAAGTTTTACAGTAATTATTTTACTCTTAAGGGTTGTTTTTTGTATATTTTTGTGAAAAATTATAAAAACGTTTATTAGTAAAATTAGTTATATGAGCGTAAACGCTGATTTATATTATTATATTAATTGAAACTGCGCCATCTAGTGACAAGAAGAAGCATCACTTTTTCTTTTAACATCAACGGCCAGTTTAAGTAAAATCTATCAAATCACTATTTTCAAATAATTACTCCGTCAAATTAATTATGATACATAATTGTCATAGGGAAAAATATAAGTAATAATTGATATCAAAAATTAAATAATGAATGTTTCAAAGTATTTTTTGTGGAAAGCTAAAATCTTCACTTTATTTCGTATAGGACCTATGGGTTTTTATCTATACTAATATTATAAAGAGAAAAGATTTTTAGTTTGTTTGTTTGTATCGAATAAGCTCCAAAACTACTGGCCCGATTTAAATGACATTTGATAAGAAAATAGTTTGAGACCTTGGAAAGGACATAGGATTGTATTATACCGGAAATCATCCCTTAAAGGGGTGAAAATAGGGGTGAAAGTTTGTATGGGGAATCAAGCTAGGGATGAACCCCAGCGAAGCGAGGATGAGTCGCTAGTAATAAATGTAACAGTAAATTAAGCAAACAACGATTCGAAATACACATTTTAAAAAACACTCACTAACTAAAATTCTACAGCCCATTAAAAGCTTTCATAATCTAATGACATTTAATAAAATATAACAAAGTATGAAAATCTATACATATAATAAAATTGTAACTAAGCTGAATCTGTACATTAAATATTTTTTGGAAAATCTTATTAAAATAGACATTATTACTGATACAGAGGCCGAATCTATAGTTTTTAGAATTTTTGTCTGTCTGTCTGTTACCGCATCACGGGAAAACCAGTGAAGGGATTTTGATAAAATTTGGTATGATGATAGCTGGTTATCCGGGTCAACATATAAGATACTTTTTACTGCGGGAAAATATTTCATCCCTGAGAAATCTATACTAAACGTTAAAACGAAAAAAAGGGACGAACCCGAGCGAAGCGAGTGTGAGTCGCTAGTATTAAAATATAACCATGTATCTATTATTAGATTGCCTAAAACCTGCTTCAAAAACTATTTTTCAAATTCGAATAGTAGTTCCAGAATCTCTTGAGCGCGTTCAAACAACAAAAAAAAAACAAAAAAAACACACAAAAAACATTTAAAAATAAATAATAATAAAAAAATAATAGAAAAATATATAATATTCAGGCGAAACCGCATGAAAAAGAATTTACAATATGATAAATAAATCAGACAACATTTAAGTATTGCTTAGTAAGCCGGAACTTCAGGATTTTAAGTGCTTGAGCATCGACATATACATAGACTTCGTAGATACTTGTTGCTACGGAATTTATTGCTACAAACTAAAATGTGAAGCTCGAGACGCTTTTTACTAGAATCTAGCTAATTTATTAACATCTAGGACGCCTTTCTTAAGATTCTTTTATATAGACTCCAATCTCTTCTCTCTTCTCTCTTCAGTCTCGCACCTCTGATATTTTCATGTGCGAATCATTTCTAACATGATTACCACTTGCCTTACTGTGAAAGAAAATATTGTGAGGAAACTTGCATGTCTGAGAGAACCTAGCAAGTGTTCGAAAGACATGTGAAGTCCGCCTGCACTTGCCCAGCGTGGTGGACTATATCCCCCTGTATTGAAGGGAGGCCCGTGCCCAGTAGTGGGACGTTAAAAAAAGAGCTGAATATATCTTTATGTATATGCTTGTTCAAAGAAAAAACCGTAGAAAAAGAATTTAACTAATATAAAACTCATTCAATGTGAAATGTAAAAAAGCTGTAGAATTAATAAACTGCTCTGGTTCTGAATTACGAAGCTTGTATTATACAAGGATTCTAGTATGAAAAAAGAAAAAAAATTAAGAGATCGTTTTAATTATTCAACTGAAATTTTTATTTTGTACTGTAGATAAATTATTATTGTGGAGCATTTGCGATAAATAGTAATAAAGTATAGCCTATTACATCAAAGGTCACTAGTTTGATTCCCTTTTCAAGTAAATGTTTATAATATGAATCATAAATGATATATTTCACAATCATGTTAGATAAAACAGTGGGAAGAGAATAGTGAGATCAAACCCAACGTTTTCTCTCACCCAAAAACATAAGATTGAGAAGCTCTTCATATTAAATATATATACATTTGTATTCTTTTTGACACAATATAACAGTGCAGCAGATTCAGTTTACATAAGAATATTAACATAACTTATTACGATACACAATTTGGTCTGTAGTTATCAACATTATGATGACATATTTTTAAATATGATATTTGTAGAGTTTTTACTTTTTCCTTTTTCTGACAAAGTTACAAGCGAAATCTTGGTAACTACGTCCTCTTTAAAACGATCTTTTAAAGGAAAAATGGATAATTGATCAATAACTTTGGGCATATAAAGTTCACCAAAACTAAGTTCGTCCGAACGTGACACACGTGGGTTTACCAAATACGTGGTTTCATTTTTGATAGAAAATTCTCCTGCATGCATTTTAGGATTTCACGTTTAAATGACAAAGCTTTGTGAAATATAACGTATACGATTTTTAAACGTCTAACTATTTAAGATTTCAAAATTTATTTAATAGAGAGAGTACATGTAACCGAAGTAGCATTATATAGTACACTAGCGACTCACTCTCACTTCGCTCGTCCCTAGGTTGATTCCCCATACAAATTTTCATCCCCATTTTCACCCCCTTAAGGGATGATTTCTGGGATGAAATTTTTTATGTCCTTTCTAGGGTCTCAAACTATTTTCCTAACAAATTTTATTTAAATCGGTTCAGTAGTTCCAGAGATTACTTCCAACAAATAAACTCACAAACTTACAAACTTTACCTCTCTATAATATTAGTATGAAAGAGCCGCTTACAAGTCTTTGTATCACCAAAAATTGTATAAGCAGAATAAAAATATTTTCAAAATTAAAGTAAATATTTAGCTTTAATTCTTCAATAATTACCTACTAAAATGTTCATTTAAATCAAAAATAATTAAAACCAATAGAATATAGAATAGATTCAGATATTAAAAAAATATGGTGAAATTAAGTATCAAACAAACATGCTTACATATATAATATATATGTATATGTATGCATATATATGTAAATTCATTTAAATATATAAAACCTTTTTTTGGGATGTCTTGTAAAACTACCATTGAACAATTCTACGTAAAGGAGACCTTAAACAGGTCAACTTTAATAAAAAATAATTATTATATAACAACTTTTTCTTTTCAATTAGGAACGTTAAAATTATAAATGATTGATTATCATCATTATTACATATTACCATATTACGAATCGTTTAAAGTCTTTCACATCATTACGATACGTAAAAAAGTCGTTAAGGAAAATAAGCGAGTCGAAAGTTAGCAATTTCATGATGTAAAAATTTTCAAAGCAATGCTGCGAGTATATATTAATATACTTATATATTAATATACTTTTTAGGATTCCGTAGCCGTAGGGTGCCAACGGAACCCTATTACTTGGTCTCCGATTTCCGTCCGTCTGTCAGAGGGTTGTATCTCATAAACCGTAATAGATAGAAAATTGAAATTTTCACAGAGTAAGTATTTCTATTGCCGCTATAACAACAAATAATAAAAATAAAAATACAAAACATTTTTTTAACGTTAAGTCGACTCGAACTTGATCAATTTTTGGTTTTATGAATCACTTTCAAATACTTCATCCATCGTTCTTTATGAGTTTCGTGTATCTTAAATCTTTTTTTTTTGTATGAGTTATTCTAATTACAAATCAAATTAATAATAATTAACGTATACAAAAAATATGTTTGTACCTAAATAAAAAATACAAGTATCGAAAATATACAATTGACATAAAAATCTAGGTATAAAATAGGCAGAGCGTATAAAACAATTCATTTGAAGTCAGTCTCGCAAATGCTTAGTCAGAGTCGAGTTCCTCCGGGACTGTATTTTCAGCATTTAAATAGAATACAAATGCATTTTTCAATAACTACGTTTCTATTTCAATTTCATACTTTGAAGTATGTAAAAATATACCAATAGTACGAAGATAATTATCCAAACCCAAATTCAAATCCATACTAATATTATAAATGCCAAAGTAACTCTATCTGTCTGTATGTTTGTTACGTGTAACGCCTAAACCGCTGAACCAATTTTGATGAAGCTTGGTATTGAAGGATGGGACCATGGAGAAAGACAAAAGATACGTTTTGTCGTAAAAATTAATTATATTCTATAGTTTTGGTGAGAAATAAAGAATATTTCGGCGCTTATGACTAATAAAAAACAAACAATAAAACAAGGGGTGATTTCAATTTTTTTGATAATATCTAAATACACATAGATATAAAAAATTACTACCTACTTTTCTACACCTATGTAGGTATATATTATAATCTATTCCATACTTTGTAAGTTTGTACATAACCGTTAAAACGTAACGAGCGAAGCGAGGGTGAGTCGCTAGTAATTCTAAGAGTTCCTCGATATTTTCATCTTGCAATATTTATTTTCTGTATAAATAGCAGAGTTCATTGCAACTATAAAAAAGTTATAACATCTAGTCAGTTTGTACGTGATGTTTGAGCAGCATATGTTATCAATAGATACAAAATAACATGGTTGGGATTATTTCTTTCATATATGTATATTAATTTTGATACATTTAGCTATCAAAATATGGAGATGATTATTGTTAGATAATATTTAACTTTTTTTTAATGATAATATCTTCTATTTTATCTTTTGACAGGTTGTTTAAAAAAAAACTCGTGGAATGTAATTAGAACTCTACTAAACTAGGTGTAATAAGGTCCTGAAAAAAACGAGGGTGTGTGATGAGTTTTTAATAGCTTGCAACTACATATTTCTTCGCGTTATATCTATATCAAACTTATTTCTTAGGATGATATTCTGATGTCACCTTATCTGTTTATCCGACTGGGATTAAACACTTGCTTGGCCAATACAAATATTCGCCTCTTGCAGGAATCAAACCCGGAACCTTATAAAGTTATAGGATATGCCACTTAACACTTAGCAGTAGTGAAAAAGTGACAGACTTCATTATCAATATTATTTGCTAACCCCTACTATTATATTTAAATACGAAAGCAAATACGTAATAATACGAAAGTGAAGAAAGACTATAACAAAAATATACATATAAATACACATCTTTGCATGTGTGTTTTTGTTACTCCTTTACGGCTGGACAGATTTGGATGAAATTTTGTACATATTTAGTATATGATTTGAGACTTGAGGTAGATGTGCTTATATAGCACAGCTGTTAATAACATTTGCAAATAGTGTAAATAAAATTATTAATTCAAAAACTACCTGGGGACTCAAGTATTACAAAACTGTGTTTGAAATAAAGATTTGAAAGGAGCATTTCACTTTATTTATATTATTTTTTTAATTAGTTACTCTTCTTTTTAAGTAGTTTAATCAATATATTGTTATCTGTTATAAAATAATGATTATATAAGGTTCTGCTAATAAAAAAAAAAACAAAATGTACGGATGCAGTTGCATTAATATATTTAGCAATAAAAGCAGAGTAAACAACAGGAAATTCTTAAGACATATGTGTCACGTCTGTTAGAATCTTTATAGAATAGTGATGGATGTGAAAAAAAATCTACTTCGATAAATCATCTAGATGAATATTATTAAGAGACTAGCGACTCGCCCTAGCTTCGCTTCGAGTTCGTTTCAAGACACAAACAAATCTATCCCACGGGAACCGTACATATTTCCGGGATAAAAAGTAACTTATGTGCTATTCCAGACTACAATATATCTATCTGCCAAATTTCATCCAGATTCATTCATGCTTTCTGGTGAGAAAGAGTAACAAACATCCATCCATCCACTCAGAATATAAAAAAAAAATACTAAAAACATATTAGATTAATTTTATTCTAGCAAATGACACATTACATTTAGAAAATGTAAGGTAAAAACTGGTGAGCTTTTAACTAACGAGTAAGTAAAAGACTTATATGATTAACAATGTGCACTCACCTTGTATGGTTTTAGCATTTTCCTCAGGTCGCCGCTCTCATTTAGTTTTTCAACTGTGTCTGCATCCTGCAAAGATAGAACGGGTTCATTTTAAATTACTGTAGAGAAAAAACTTAATTTATCTTTTAAAAAACTTAATCGAAATAAGCTTTAAAATTTGTTATACACCAAATATATTATTTTATGTACAATAAATATGTTATGGTAATGTAAGGAAGTAGTCAAAGGTACGATTAGTCCAAACGCTTTTTTCCTTATAGTATCTTATTAAATAACAACAGCCTTTAGCCTTCTTTTTCGCTTAAAATTTTCAGCTAAACGACTAATTTACCGAAAGAATTTTTGATACAGAATTATTAAATTTTAAATTTCAATTTTATTAAACAACTAAAAGGCGTATTTTATTTATATATTATGATTATAATCTTATAAATAAAGATTTGTTTTTAAATAGGGTAAATTCTGTTCTGTAGAGTATCTGTCTCTAAAGTACAACAAGTATTGGTAGTTTGAAAGCCCTAAAAAGGTTTGCTAAGTATCCCTTTATATCGAGACATCGGAAAAAAACACCCGTTCTAGTAACTTTCGTAATATTATAAACTATTAAATGATAAAATAAAACAATATATTATTTGTCTCCTACGAGAATCAAACTTATGACCCCTAATGTCAAGTGTCAACCAGAGAAAAGGCGAGTCGTTAATATAGGATTCATAGCACAGCTTTAAAGTACTAAAGATGAACATATAAAGACCCTTTCCAATTTCACTGGCAATACTCATAAAAGTTCATACGACACGCGATGTGAGAGCGTGAGTGACGTAAAAAGGAATGGAGATTTACACTTTTGAGCATAGGTGAGTTTGCCTACACGTGTTTTTAAAGGAAACATATTTACAAATACATAGTTTTGGCACAAATTATATATAAATACATATAAATGTATGTGTGTATATATCTGGTTATCCGGGTCAATATATAGGATACTTTCTACTGCGGGAAAACATCTCATCTCTGAGAAATCTATACTAAACGTTAAAACGTAACTAGGGACGACCCCGAGCGAAGCAAGATTGAGTCGCTATTTATATTATTGGGTAAAATTAGCCTTTTTGAATTGTTTCCAAAATCACTGAATAGATTGGGGTTAAAAAACGCACAGACAGTTATTCTGATGTAAGCATCTCTAAGAAAGGATTTTTGAAAAAAATTGTATGTAGAAATCATATAAGAGAGATTTGTGAATTCGAAAATTCGCAGAATTACTCCTGCCTACAAATAAATAAACACATGTTTCGTACCTGTTTCTAAAAAAACCCTTAAGGGGATCAAAAGAGGTAAATAGTCTAAAAATCAAAAATGACGCGAGCAAAAGCTAGTATATTAATAATTATTTATGAATACATCGTCTGGATATTAAAGTTTATGTCATGGTCATATTCAAAAGCTAAAAACTAACTTGAACTAAAAATTATTCATAAAGTTAGCTACAAAATTGTAGTGATTGTTTTATTAATATAAAATATTGTTATACTTAAGTTATCTCTATTTAAATATTATTCCTATACTAGCATTGCCCGCGGCTCCGCTCGCGTTCAGATGACCAAAAACCAAATTCTGAGGTTTTACATTAGTATACTCTTACATTGTAGTTTTGTATTTTTTCTCAGAATGAGACATTTTCCCGCGGTAAAAAGTACCCTATATGTTGACCCGAATAACCAGCTATCATTATACCAAATTTCATCAAAATCTGTCCAGTGGTTTTCTTGTGATGCGGTAACAGACAGACAAACAGACAAAGATTCTCAAAACTATAGATTCGGCCTCTAACTATAATAATGTTTATTTCAATAAGATTTTCCAAAAAATATTTAATAAACAGATTCGGCTTACAATTTTATTATATGTATAGATTACTTCAACATCAGTGTTATTTTAACGCGACTGATATAATTTAACAATGGACTATTATTGTAATGGTTGTTTCTAATGATAATAACAGGTATTTATGTTAAGGGAAAAAAATCTGTGGTTTTCTCACGTACTATTGTTCTATGACTCATCTGTATAAAGACTAAAATAAGACTTAAACTGTCGAGAGATTGATGTCTAGATTTTAATCTAGCCTTTGTTGTTCATCAGTTTGCCTGTTTGGGAACGCATCACGAGAAACCACTGGACAAATTTTGAATAAATTTGGTATGCTGATAGCTGATTATCTGGGTCAAATTAATTAGGATAGTTTGTTATCTGATTAGGTATCTATTCTAAATGAAAACCCCCGTTTAGTTATTTTATACATTTTAGTGCCTGGAAGTAGTTTTTTTTTAGTTTTTGTGTCCATTTTTAGTGTGGACGTAATAAGCAAGTAATTTGTTAGAAGAAAGTTTTTTAATAACATGCTCGATTAAGCAATTTATTTAAAAAAATAATTTCTTTGTGGATCTTAAAAAACACCGCTTGACCGTATTCGATAAAATTTATATGAGACCACCTGGTAACCCTTTGAAACAAAAAAAAAAAATTCCAAATCGGTTCAGGCGTCTTCGAGTAATCGGTGAACATACATTAAAAAAAAAAGATTCCGACGAATTGAGAACATCCTCCTTTTTGGAAGTCGGTTAAAAAATAATCTTTTGTAGCGAATAATATATATTTTCTGTAGTAAGAGAACTCTAAGAGTCGATAAAGTTCCAAAGTTTTCTTTTCTACATAGTACAGACAAATAGCTCTTCAATAAAGTGAAAGATTTCAAAATATCATTTTTTTCTTATAAAAATTTGCTAACGATTTACCCTGGCCTTGCCCGGCTACATACATACATATATGCCTTTTGCACTCATGATCTACAGACAATGCCACCTTTTGGCAAATCTTACATAATTACAAATAGTAAGCCCATAAGTTATTCTAAGTCATAGTCTATATACGTTTCTAGATCTAGATTCGTACAGTCGTTTCAGCGTGAAGGAGCAACAAATACCACACACACACACAGAGAGACAGAGATAGAGAGAGAGAGAGAGAGAGAGAGAGAGAGAGACAAAGAGAGACAGCGATACACACACAAACAAACATACACACACACGCATACAAACTTTCACATTAATATAATAATAGTATGATTAAAGACTTATCTACCGTCATACAATGAAACGCTAAGACTCGTGTAGTAACTAAAGATTTCAAGTTTATAATCTGTTTGACGTTTTCCAGAAACTTTTGCCTTTCCTTTGAAACATAATAAGCGCTTTCAAACAAAAGCGCCTTGAAAAGTTATTATTTTGTACGAACTTGAATCTTATTGCGAGACCGTAAGAGTTACACTTGCAATTAAATTTCTTTTAACTTTCAATTGAATGAATCTTATACAGATTGCTCTTCTATGATGCGTGCATATTTCGAATCTTATATAAAATCTTATAAAATTGCTTCGCTTCAGAATAATTTTCTATGTAATTAATAATTATTTATTAAGTAATATATATATATATATATATATATATATAAATATTGATTATAGCTAAGCGTTATTAGTAAAGTTCTTAGATATCTATACATTAATACTTGTGATAGAGAAATTTGTACTCCATTATTAAGCATATTTCGCGTACGGAGCAGTATAAGCTTCGGCATAGTTAAAGTTTATATGGATCGCAGAAAGCTAATATTGAGAAACTTGCTTTTGCCCGCGACTCCGTGGCGGTTTATTTATATGTAAATAGCAGTGTTCGCAGCTAAGTCCGTGTTCAAACTTCCGATATTAACATCTACTTATTTTACAATAATGTATGGAAGTCTGTCTAATTGGTTGGCATTTATGATTACTGCTCCGCTCCCTTGGATAGTAGCATTCCTCAATAAACGGGCTATTTAATGCAAAAAGAATTTTTCTAATCGGATTAGTAATTCCTGAGATTCCCGCGTTCAAACAAGCAAACAAACATACTTTGCTTCTTTATAATATTAGTATAAATGATATCAATAACGTTCAAACATAAAGAATTATGGTTTTTGACCATGGGGCGAAGTACGTTTATTTTTTGAGTAAGAAAAACTCTTTAAAGAATTGAATTTAACCCAATTTTGATTTGTTAATTGAACCATATAAATTATACAATTTGACGACGCGTGTGGCTCAGTTTGTACTGACCATACTTGCTATGCCAGCGGTCGCGGGTTCGAGTCCCGCTGGGGGCATTCATTTGTGTGATGAGCACGAATGTTTGTACACCAGTCATGGGTGTTTATATTTATAATATGTATGTATTTAAAGTTATATATTTGTAGTGTATCAACTATCTGGTATCCATAACACAGGCCTCGTAGCTTACCATGGAACTAGATGGTGATGTGTGTTAATGTCCCAACATATTTATTTATTTATTTACAATACACTAATACTCAATGGTACTAAACATTAAGTTAACCTGATAAAAATTGGGAATTCAATATATACAATAATACACAGATAGATAATATACAAACGTTGCACATATATGCAGGGGTTGAGAAAATTAAATATTGTCCCAAAGGAACTCGTATAAGATGTTGTATTAAAATATATATGTATGTAGATATTTCGTTTCATAGAAATTGAATCTTTGTACTTGGTATCATGACAACCGGAAAATTTAGTTTTGCGTCATAGTACCTAGTTGTATAGTGCCACCGTATCTGTGGGGCGATGTTTACGATAAAGATGGTCGCAGGTTTGATTCTGTTGGGTAACATGTTACATTTTTGTAAGGAATATTTAATAAGTGTGTATGCATGTTACACATTTTATCAAAGGAAGTACATATTCAGCATTTTAGAATCTAAACGAATTCAAAGTCAATTTTATTACATACTAAGTAGCGGCTATCCCACGCTTCGCTCGGGTTCGTCCCTAGGTACGTTTTACATAGATATAAATATTTATTAGCCAACGTTAGCCATATAATTTTTTCTTTCGTGACCTTTTCTGATGTTCTAATAGTTATTCTGCTATTCTGGGCGGAGACAAAACAAACAAATCAAAATTCATAAAAATCACTCCAGTCGATCTTCAGTTATAAATA